GCATGTATTTCCTTGGTTCTGTGTTTTACTTCAAGATCCTCTATTTCTTTGCATTTTAACTGAATCCATGTTTCCTTAGCAGTTCTACACATATTTCGTATTTCTTTGTCTATTAATGAATATTCTGGAGGGTTTTTTGCTTTCTTCCTTTGTATCATTTTGTTAATAATTTCCTCAGTCATCCATACTTGATTTTTCTTGTTTTCTTTCACTGGTAAGATGGCATTAGCTGTTTCTATACTAGTTTTGAAACATTCCCATTTTGTATTAATTTTGTCCTCTGGATTCTCCCGTCGATATTGTTCCATGCTTTCAACTATTAATCTGTCATATTTATTTTTAACCTCCACTAGGTACTGCTGGATTATTTCTGGCTGTTTCAAAGCTGATATGTCAATGTGGGGTGACCTTTGCGTTTTTATTTCTGTTTTTTTAAGTTTAATTTGCATTTTTATTACTACAGGGTTGTGATCTGAATTTATATCCGCACCTGGGTATGTTTTGGCATTCTTTATGTTGTTTTTGAATCTGTCTCTAATCATTACATAGTCAATTTGGTTTCTATTTATATCTCCTGGACTCTTCCACGTAAACAGTTTTCTAGGTGGATGTTGAAAAAATGTATTACAGATAATGAGTTGGTTCTCTTCGCAAAACTGTATCAATCTGTCTCCTCTGTCATTCCTTGATCCCATGCCAAATTGCCCTACAGTATTTTTGTGCTTCTTTTTCCCCACTTTTGCATTCAGGTCTCCCATAACTATTAAGAACTCTGATGATTTTACAACTTTCAGTGTTTGTTGTAGTTCTTCATAATATTCTTCAAGCTGTTCATCACTGTAGTCGGTTGTTGGTGCATATGTCTGTATTATTGCAATATCAAAAGGTCTTGCCTTGATCTTGATCAATATAATTCTGTCATTGTGAGCCCGGAACCCGCTAATAAGTTTCTCTAAATTTCTTTTTATCAAGAATCCTACTCCACGTTCATGATGTTCTCCTCCAGAATTAATAAATATGTAATCATCTCTCTTTAGGCAGCTAGCTTCTGTCCATCTTGTTTCTGATACTCCTAAAATATCTAAATTCATATTCTTTGCCTCAGAAATTAAACAGTCAAATTTTCCAACTTGAAATAACGTTCTAACATTCCATGTGCCAATGCGAAGACATCTCTTTCTACTTTTCAGATATGCGTTGTCAGAATGTGCCCTTTCAGAAGAATTTAAGGCGCACTCGTCATTATGCTCTACCCTAGTCAACAGAGGATTTGTCTCTTCCCTGTTTGTATTTACAACAAGGTATTACTCCAGGGGGCCAAGATGTACCTGCATCGCTTTTTCTAACTTGAATCCAATAGCCTTGTTTAAAGAGACTTTTTCCTCATAAGTGGCATTGGTACATACGGTAATTTTTTATAGTGTCTGAGTCCAGCACTTGTATTACAGTATTGGTAATCTGTTCCTTGGCGCTGATACTTATGTTTGTATGTCTTAATTACAGTGACAATTGGTATATAAGTGTACTGGTTAGTTGGCATCTTGTTTCCATTTCCCGATCTATTCTAACGTCCTCCGAGAATATACTTCCCAACTTGTTCCCTTTAATTCTCTCCATATTCCTTAAACAATAACAGTTGAATACACAACTTCGCCACTGGTTTGTTGGACCTGTCGCAGGATCATCCTTCTTTTCAATACGTTTATGTTAAAAACACACACTAAACACATTTTAAACTCCATTGAATATGCGAGCAAGGATTAAACACCAATAACGATAAACTGAGGAGAGGAAAAATATATATTAAAAAGATGAATGAAAAAAGATACAAAATTGATTTCAGATACCTGCAGCGCTCTTTCTTTCCTGCATTATCTGTTTAGGAAGAGAAGAAAGGGGCAAAAATTACAACATGAGTGAGGCAAAAGGTTAGTAAAACAATAGTCTCCCCAGAAAATGTAGGTCACGTTCCATTGATAACTTTTTTGGACTGGTCTACCTTGCTGGACCTTACGGGTGTGCCGCTTTGTTGTTTGCTTCCTGGGATGTCTTGCATTTACTTTTTTTTTATTCCGAAAAAGAGGATGCCGGTGACATAGGTTGCATCACTCTCTAAAGGGGTTTTGTGTTAAACCCAGTTTGTCGTTGTTTTTGGAGTATTAAAAGCGCTAGCATGCTAAAATATAGAACACCCGAAACCAACGGCATTGGGAACCCGTGGCTAAAGGTCGACCAATCAGAAGTAAGCTAGGCTGAAGGTCGACCAATTAGAAGTGAGCTAGTGTGTAACACTGTCTAATGGGGAGAGCAATGTTACTATTACCGAGGCAAAAAGCCTATGTTTGCACACACACACACCCTCGCGGGCTCATGCACGCACCCACACAGACACAATGTGCACATTAATTTGAGGAAACAATGATGTTTGCCATTTTTTTCCACGAACGTCTTGTTTTATGCAATAGCGCTACGATTAAAAAAAAAAAAACTATTTATTTGTTGTAAAAAAAAAAAAAAAAAAGATGATTGCACACTGACGCGACCGCTGCTATATCAGCCTGAACACTTCCTTGTTCACTATTTTAGAGTTATGTGGTTCTGTTTTGTTTCTCTCTGACGCCTTGATAAGATACCTGCTAATATTGTAGAGTTTCTCTGGTGTTTTTCTCCCCCCCCCCCCCCCCCCACCTAATTCTTGACCTACCTGGGGCTTTACGCCATTCTTCTCGCTTGATCAGCCACGCGTGTTTAGGAAGGTTACCGTTCTACTACTTGTTTTGTGCGCGCGATCCAGTTCTTTTGATAAATGAGACTCAGAAAAGATTGTGAACCTACACCAGAACACGGACCAAAACTACAGATACATACTAGGAGGGATTGTGAACCTACACCAGAACAAGGACCAAAACTACAGATACATACTAGGAGTGATTGGCTGTCTGTCCAGTATTTGCCGGGTGAATAAAAGATGAATGAATCGGAATCTATAATAAACCAGAAAATATTTCTCTCAAACGGAAAGAACAGTTTGGTTGTAAAAGGAATACCATTGTCAGAAACGAGGCTATCCTTCGAATAACGGTCCCAACTGAACTACGCAGACAGTTAACCCAAACAGAGCCTCACAACACAGACAGTTAACCAAAACAGAGCCTCACACACATATAAATTCGCATTTTTTTTCCGGCGATTCAACCGTGTCAAAAGTAGTATTAACTGCGCACGACATTTTCGCGGAACGGAAAGAATATTTTTACGGCGATTACACGGCGGCAAAAGAAGGATTAACTGCGAACGAAAAAAAATACCGACACGCGACAACACTCCCGATAGCGCTATCCTACGGCAGGACCCGAGTAATATGTAAGTTGCCGACTACACTGCCATCTACGAGAGTATCTCCCGCGCCGCTACGCGCGGCGTGGAGAGGGCTAAACTAGATGGCTAGGACTCACGAGCAGCAGCTACCGCAGCTCCTGCAGCTTCTTCCAAAGTATTTGCTCGTGAGTCCCAGCCATCTAGTTTAGCCCCCTCCGCGGGGGATACTCTAGGAGGTGGCACTATAGTTGCCGGGACAAAAGCCAACAATTTAGAGGAGCTACGACTTTTGACGGAACTACCAGCGGCATCGTGGAGGCTGTTCGTTTGAAGCTGTCCGAGCCGACATGCGCGTACATTACATCACGCATTACAGGCTAATGATGTCTCGCCTGCAACGAGAATAGCGGACAAGCCATGGTTCCAATGGCGGCAGAGCGAGAGAGAACATATATTCGCGCACTATTTGGAACTTCTGTGTCACAATTGTCATGTATAGAGGATGTCACTATCGGTAAGTAGTAGACTTCCCCCATTTTCCTGATACTTTTCTTTCACATGTTTGTAGGGCAGGACGTAATGAGGCTCTGTTTGGGTTAACTGTCTGCGTAGTTAAGTTGGGACCGTTATTTCAAAGATAGCCGAAACAATGCTCACCTAATTGAGGAAAGAGTGAAAGATTCTTGAAAGATTGTTCACACACTGAGATATGATTTGGGAAACACATTGAATAATGTTAGTTTTTCTACTGTTCACAGAGGAGGCATCGAACGTAATCGTAAAGCTAGACGACTGTGGAAGAGGAACAAAAACGTTGAGCGGGGGGGGGGGGGGTGGAAAAAGGGGGGGGGGGGCAGATTGTGACGACAATTTCCAGAGTACACTACTGAAATACAAGCGTTGAAAAAAAAGGTAATGATTTTTAAAACATGAAACAAGACTTACTCAATTTTGAGAAAAGTAGTACACGTGAACGATTAAATTCGATGATTATGTTTGATGCTAGAGATGTCAGCAAATTAGGAGATCACTGAGCATTGCGCAAAGAACACACAGAAACAGATTTGTTGACGTTGTTTCGTAAATGCGTCGTCGTCGTAAAGATATAAATTATACGAACGAATCAGCACAGACCTCAGGAGAATCACAGTTTCAGTATATAATTAAGCTACACACAAGAAAGAGAAATAGATTAAAAAAAAAAAAACTGAATGGCTGAGAAGAACGTAGAAGAAATAGTTGAGCGATTCATTAATCACGCTAACCATGTGAATTCTAAGTGATGAAGCAGATTATTTGAAGCAGTTAGAACAACCTAAAATGACTGACTAAAATTGTTTTAAATATATAATACCTACATCAGTGACTAGTCACAGGAAAGATAATGACGCAGGTGAAAGTAAACTTACGATTTGAATCAGTGATGACATTTGACCCGTGTTCCTTGCACAGTAGTATTCCAGTTTATCCGGAAAGACCTTGACACTAAATAAATCTCTATTAGGGGCTGAACTGCAATTATCCTGGCTCAGTTGGTTGCACGGAACACACGCTTCGTAATCACTATCCATGGAAGGTGTTATCTTCTAAGATGGGTGCAAGTTTGAAAACAAAACAAAACGCCACGAAACAGCATGTCACAGTACTGGCCGTTATAGAAATGATTGTCATGACAACTAAACACCGTCTCTGGAGAAATGGCGCTGGTCTGGCAGAACTCTGGTAATTGCGTGATCGACTGTGCGAATAACCGCTTTGAGCTTTTGATGTTCTGCTGATGGTCGGTAGGGCGTGCTCCGTCTGATTGTGCAAGTGTCTGAAACCAGGTCGTGGTGGCAGCTTAGGTGGGACGGTTGAGCCGGTTCTTTCAGAGACCTCTGACGTGTCGTTGCTAAACAGTGAGGAGCTGCTGACGCTGCTTTGGGCATGTCGAGACATTCTTCCGTCGACATATTTTAGCAAGGTCGTCTCTGTGTCACTGTTAGCTTCGCCTCTACATCTGTTGGGCATCTTTTTCGAATACCTTAAATGTAGATGTCAGCCGTTACCTCTAGGGTATCTGTATACCTGGCGTACAGGAGAATAAGATTGAAGTATAGTGATTAAGTCTGCGAATTTCTTTTATACAACTTAGATTTACTGAACATGTAGCAAACGATGTAAAGTGGGACATTGTGCTTATTTATTATCATTACCATCACCATTACTATCTAGGTTATCTGTAAAGGACACATATTTAAATGTTACTTTAATTTACCCCAGCCACACGGATAGGTTGACAGTCTCCCAGATTATCACTGTAATTCTCCTTCAGTAACGTTTATGACCACCGTCTGTTGATATGTAAAATCAAGTTACAATTTAGGACCAATATAACATCCTACTGTCGTGGAAACAAATATAATAAAGGATGTCTCTGGGATAAAGAAATTAATGTACAAGTTTCAGTTATAGTCTCAAAAAGATACCAGGCGCTACAGCAGCTATCTGTGCTGAACAACACATCAGTCTGCAAGGGAAGTCTTACAACTTTTTTTAAAATAAATCAATGTGCTCTCCAAACACAGTTGCGGTTCCACTGACTAATAACATGCTTATTAATTTCTACGTTTAAAATGCTCATGACAAAATGAAAAAAAAAAATGAAGTCAACATTCTTATTACAAGTATGCCTATACAAGTAGTAAGTGTCTGAAATATAAAAAGTTGTATCTCTAAATTCGACTGGATAGACGAAAGCGAAAAACTGCGGTCCGTCATCATTACAATGTGTCATTTGCTCACGAAGATTGCCGAGATTAGTTCTAAATCCACCAGTCCATTCATGTGTCTTCTCGTTAGTCGATCTCTGAATGTTGGCCACCATCATGTGGTGTGTATAGTTTGTACTGTCCCCTGCCGTGTCCCTTCAACCACAGAGATTGACTTCCCTTTGAGTTGAGTTGATGCATTGTTTGTGGTATACCGATTTACTTAGTAATTGTGTTACAGTCAAAGTGCGTTTGTCTATGTGTGTGTGTGTGTGTGTGTTAGTGTTTTAATTTATGTGAAGCAAAGAAAGTATGTGATTTTCGTGAAATTCTTCATAAACAAAACGGTGTGGATATGTGCATAGTGTGTGTATTTGTGTACATATTTGTGTTGCCAATTTATTGTTACAACTGCATGGTGCTTTCCATCACTAAAATCTCTTCCACATATCCTAGTTCTTCCATGTTTGTTGTTGTTGCTTTTATATCAGATAATGGCGTCTATGCGATTTCAAATGATCAACGAGACAACATGGAAACAGAACTGACCGGCCAGCTAAACAAATTCTCAGAAAACAATCAATTAATTCTCTAATGGATCCCGGCCTATTGCGGCATAATAGAAAATTTGTTGGCGGACAGATTTACGAAGAATGGAACAAAAGAAACAACACACTGATTCACGGTCATTACCAGAAATCACATCATTCATCGAGGGTAAATACAAGACATTGTGGTGAGAACAAACCAACAGTGGGCATCCAAAGGACCTCATCAGCACATCACCTAAAAACTAAAGACAGAAGTTTTACAGCTTGTTACAGTGAGTCGGAAAAGTTGTTTTTTTTTTAAAAATCTCTTTAAGGCTATTCCTGATGTTGTTCCATTTTCAGCGTTGTCTTTCCCTTGTTCAGTGCCTATTGTATTTCCTCAGCGCGGCTGTCTGTGGTTGTTGGAACTAGAGCATTCTCGCCAGATGGCCATGTCGTCTAAACTGTTGCTCCTTAATAAATTGTATGACTGGTGTTAGTTTCAGTCTTCTTCTAATTCCTTTCTTTTAAGTTTTATCTATTCTTGTTTTTCCAGCAGCTCCTGTAAGACATCTCTATTGTCATTATTTTTAGTAACGGTCCATGTTTGACATTGGAAGACCCAAAGTCATCCACCCCCCCCCCCCCCCCCTCAAATAGATCTTATTACTTTTGCCATGAAAAAAAAAAGTAAGTCAAAAGAGATATTAGTTATCAGAGTACATAATTTGCTTGTCAGCTCCTGTACTCTCGACACAATTCTAATTTGACAAGCAATCGCAAACCTCGAATTGCCTCTTCTCTTTGTGCCATTCAAGACTCTCCTCTTCTTAGTCCTTGACCTTTTGCTGTATCCAAGGCTTCAAGCAGGGGGTGTTTCTTGTCTGTGTTTTCTCTGGGGTACGACCAATGTAAAGTACAAAACAGTTTGGGAATCACTGACTCAAGTGTTGAACACTGCAGACGAAAACAAGCTCCACCCACCTCCCTCTCCATTACCAAAGCATTCTGCACGTAGTCGCCATGTCCGGGAAAGCATGCGGTTAATGAAACAAAGGAAAACAAGGATGTTGAACCAGTTTTCTGTATCAGTGTCATCTATAGTCCATAATCTGACATCCTCATTACATCAAAATTAGTCTGCAAATTTCCGTCCACCAAATATATCTCTTCGCCATTATGTCGATGATTAACAGCCAGCATCACGTCAACATTTCAAATGTTTCAGAAACGAAAATAGCTGATCTTCACTTCTTGTGTGTGCTGAACACCACATGAAATATATTACATGCTGACTGGCTCTAGTTCTCAAGATGTCTGCTACTAGTTTATTTCAATACAGCCGATTCATATATATATATATATATATATATATATATATATATATATATATATATATATATATATATATATATATATATATAAAACAAATGTTGTTGTTTTTAATTGAGAATGTTTTTTTTCTTCTATAATGCCAATAAAAATGCAACTAGAAGTTAGTGATAGTCTTGTTACTATTAACTGACATACAAACATATACAAACACGTAACAACATACACAGACACATACACACACAGAGAGAAAGAGAAAGAGAGAGAGAGAGAGAGAGAGAGAGAGAGAGAGAGAGAGAGAGAGAGAGAGAGAGAGATAATATCTATCAAAACTATCTAATTTCACTAAAACACATGTCGTATATGGACAAAGGACGAAACTGTTGTAGTAGTGTGCAGAATAGTGTACTTTGGGAACACCATTGCACTTCCGATGATAGGAGACTGAACGAGGCAGTGAATGGTGAGATAATTTTTTTTTTAAATCAACATAACATAAAAAGCTCTCTGTGCTGTGATATCGATTATTGAATTCAGTCCAGGTGAAATAAATTCTGACAGCTTCTAACGGCATGCTGGCTCCGACAAAATAATATATATCAACTGTAAAGTAAGTACGGAAACTTCCTCGCGCAATCAGATATATGGTGCTAGCTGTGATCAACAAAATTACCCCCCCCCCCCCCCTTTTTTTTTTAGTCCAGGACACCTGGTGATTCTCCTTTTAGTTTAGGTCGAAATGGATCTCAGGCAGGCAGAGCTTCAAACTGGTAAAGTAGTCTTCTTCTTAGCGTTCCGATGCTGTAAACTCCATAGAAGGCTCTGGTTGTTTGGCCACTTCTGGATTTTAGTCTTGTTCCACAACTTGAGTTTTGTGTGTTGATGCGTTTTACAGATCTGAATTATTTGTATATAGATTGTTGGTTCCTCGCCTCTGATGCAGATGCACTCCGACTTGGAAGGAAATACCCCTCATTAGTCGCATCTCACATTTGACTACAGGTATTTTAAGGGACAGTTGGTCTATCCCCCCCCCCCCCCCACCCCCACCTCACCCTCTTCCACGAAACAAAGCTCTAGAACCCACACGGGGAACTAGTATAATTAAATATCATGTGAAGAAAGCAAAGCTAGTGAACTCATATACATAGTGAAAGTGAAAGAAATGTCGAGGTCTTGCTAGGAAACAAGCCACAGGTCCTTGTAAGCGATGTATCTATCTTTGTACTCGTTTCTTCCCAGAAATCCAAGATACTGTTTCTTTTTGTTTGATCTAGCCATGTTCTGACGCAGTCACGATGGTTCTCCTTCGTTATAAAATAACAGGATAACATCATATTCAAATGTGTTTGTTCTCCCTCGTTATAAAGTAACAGGATAACATCATATGTCCAATTAGTTTGTTCTCCATCGTTATAACGTAAAGGGATAACATCATATGTCCAATAAGTTTGTTCTCCATCGTTATAAAGTAACATGATAATATCATATGTCCAATATGTTTGTTCTCCGTCGTTATAAAGTAACAGGATAACATCATATGTCCAATACGTTTGTTCTCCATCGTTATAAAGTAACATGATAATATCATATGTCCAATATGTTTGTTCTCCGTCGTTATAAAGTAACAGGATAACATCATATGTCCAATTCGTTTATTCTAAATCGTTATAAAGTAACCGGATAACACTATATGTCCAAATCGTTTATTCTCCATCGTTATAAAGTAACAGGATAACATCATATGTCCAATACGCTTGTTCTCCATCGTTATAAAGTAACGGGATAACATCATGTGTCCAATAAGTTTGTTCTCCACTGCTATAAAATAACGGAATAACACCATTCGTCCAATAAGTTTGTTCTCCATCGTTATAAAGTAACAGGATAACATCGTATGTCCAATACGTTTGTTGTCTATCGTTATAAAGTAACAGGATAATATCATATGTCCAATAATTTTGTTCTCCATCGTTATAAAGTAACAGGATAATATCATATGTCCAATAAGTTTGTTCTCCATCGTTATAAAGTAACAGATAATATAATATGTCCAATATGTTTGTTCTCCATCGTTATAAAGTAACAGGATAACACTATATGTCCAAATCGTTTATTCTCCGTCGTTATAAAGTAACAGGATAGCATCATATGTCCAATACGTTTGTTCTCCATCGTTATAATGTAACAGGATAACATCAAATGTCCACTAAATTTGTTCTCCTTCGTTATAAAGTAACGGGATAACATCATATGTCCAATATGTTTGTTCTCCATCGTTATAAAGTAACAGGATAACATCATATGTCCAATAAGTTTGTTCTCCATCGTTATAAAGTA